GTAATCTTCAAAATCTCGGTTTGCAACAAGAGTATGTGGATGATAAAGCTGTTCGAAAATATTGTAAGCTACATTGTTTTTTCTCTTGCTTGATTACTCTTCAACAGTATGTTTTTTGAAATAGTTCTTCATTCATAAGACAGCCGGCGTCGTATGTCATAACAACATAAAAACATAGAGTAAGCAATACAACAGCAAGAAAAAACGAAAATATAACTTGATGATAAATGATTTCTTTTGTTTACGTAGAAATATACACACATACACCTAAAAAATATGTTTGAGTAGAGCGAGAAGAAGAACAAGAAAAGAAGAGAACATGTTTGTTTTTTTTTTCTTTTTTAATTCGTATACCAGGAAATCTATTTACAGGGTGCTACACACATTACATTACAGGTGTAGATTATTTTTTTAGTTTTTTGAAGTAATTTAATATTGAATGGATAAATCTGTTGTTTTATATTTTTTTTTGATATCAGATGTTATAACTAAAGAAAATAAAAAGGAAGGTTTTTTTGGTTTCTTTTTTCTTTTTGTTTGCGATGATGCCTGACTGACATTATTATATTTTTTTGTCTTTGTCTATTTAGATATTTTAAAATAAATTTTTACATATATATTATTTGACATGTATTTTTATTCGTGACACGTGATAGTATTATTAGTATTATTATTATTATTATTAACAGAAAATATTTTATTTTTATTGTTATTATTGTTAAATTTTTCATCTAGAAAGCAGTTATGGTTTTTTTCACATTTTATTTAACTATTTAATAGACAATGGTCTCAATGGCTACACCGGCCGCAACTACTACTACGACAACGGCGTCATCAACGCCACCAAAAGGATCGGATAAATTACCAACGTCACCATCAACAACTATCGCAACGACAACTGAACGTATGATGAAAAGTAAGTAAAATTTGATAAAATATTTGAAACTATCTTATCGAAATATGTTCAAATCCTTCTTATTATGAAAATCATTTTTAAACAAAATATTACTTAAAAACTTAGTCCCTACATTTATTACTCGTCTATTTTGATTATTCTTATTATTTTCTTCTAGCTATTCCATCTCCACCCAGTTCTCGTTTAACATTCAGTGATGTGTTTGATAATCGAAGTAAACCTCGTGTTGACGTACTAAAACAACATTTTATATCTGAAGGACGTGTAAATGAAGATGTTGCTCTAAAAATAATTGAAGATGGAGCAAAATTGTTAAGACAAGAGAAGACGATGATCGATGTTGAAGCACCGATAACAGGTTTAATTAATTAACCAATACATACAAATTTTGTTTATTAGTTTTTGTTGTATACATTTTAGTATGTGGTGATGTACATGGACAATTTTATGATTTAATGAAATTATTTGAAGTTGGAGGTTCTCCAGCAACAACAAGATATTTATTCTTAGGAGATTATGTCGATCGTGGATATTTTAGTATTGAAGTAAAACAAGCAAATAAATTACTAACATTAAATTTGATCAAAATGTTGTTTATTTTTTTCTTTTGTGTGTTTAGTGTGTACTTTATTTATGGTCGATGAAAATATTATATCCCACAACATTCTTTTTATTACGTGGCAATCATGAATGTCGTCATTTAACAGAATATTTTACGTTCAAAACAGAATGTATGTTTACAAAATAACGTTTGTTAGATTTCAAAAGCGCTACATTTTGGCTTCTACTCGGTATCAAAGTATTTGAGGGACAGAGGATTATTTGTATGGGAAAACTTTGATATTATTGAAGTTTTATTTTTTATTTGTGATATCAAGCATCACTAACATTATTTTACCATTGAGTGAAAAGAGTCGATGTGATTGATTAGTTAAGATTATGTTTTTTTTTCGTTAGTTAATTTTTTAGATTTTATTTCGGCTTGTATTCTACTGAACAGCATCCTTTTAGTCTTGATATTTTGGATAAAAATGTGTATAATTTTTCGAGCATGAGTACATCAGCTTTGATGTTATACTATTCACTTGTTTGTAAAACATCAGTTTAGTTTTTTTTAATGTATCCGAGTTATTTTCTGACCGATCGATATTTTCGAGCGCCATGATAGATAAAAAAAAAACGTTTTTAACATTTAGCAATAAATGTTCTTTATTTTTTTTAGGCAAAATCAAATATACCGAACGTGTTTATAATGCATGCATGGAAGCATTTGATTGTTTACCATTAGCTGCATTAATGAATGCCCAATTTTTATGTGTACACGGTGGATTATCTCCAGAAATCCACTCACTTGATGACATTAAAAAAGTACTATCTATTTACTTATCGATTTTGTATATTAGGATGTTTGTTATTTTCTCATTTTTTTAGCTTGATCGATTTAAAGAACCTCCACCGTATGGACCTATGTGTGATTTACTTTGGTAAATACAATATTTCTGAAGAAAAAAAATGAATTTATCACAAAACTTTGATTCACTTTAGGTCTGATCCATTAGAGGATTATGGAATCGAACGAACATCTGAACAATATAGTCATAATACCGTACGTGGATGTTCATATTTCTATAGGTAGGTGTTTGTACATTCAAATAATGATTACATATTAAATTATTTTTATTTTTATTTTTATTTTTATTCAGCTATGCAGCGTGTTGTGAATTTCTTCAAAACAATCAATTGTTATCTATTATTCGTGCTCATGAAGCACAAGATGCTGGGTATATATTTCTTTTTCTTGTTGTATACAATTGAGCTAAGATTCATGTTTGATTTACAGTTATCGAATGTATAAAAAATGTCAAGCAACTGGCTTTCCAAGTTTAATAACAATATTTTCTGCTCCAAATTATCTTGATGTGTATAATAATAAAGGTATTATTTGATCATATTTTTATCTTTAATTCCATGAATAAATTGAATTTAAAATACATTTATTTTCTTGTTTAGCTGCAATATTAAAATATGAAAATAACGTTATGAATATTCGTCAATTTAATTGTTCCCCACATCCATATTGGTTACCTAATTTTATGGACGTTTTTACATGGAGTTTACCATTTGTTGGAGAAAAAGGTTTGACAACTATTTTAACTTTTTACCCTTGAAATGATGTTTATTATACTACGTGAACATAGAAATGTATGACTCAATAGTTTGTGTAGGCCAAAGAGGAATATTATTAGATTTGTACATCACTAGACCAAAAAGTGATATTTTTCACTCTAATCGTTGTACAGTATAGCAATAGAATTTGATTCATCTCATATTATATTGTATTTAACAGTAAACAGTATGCGTAGATAGTAGTCTAGGTGTTTTTTTTATCGTTCTCTCTGTTTTAGTAACTGAAATGTTGGCAAATATTTTGAATATATGCTCAGACGAAGAATTAGACGAACCGATCACCACTGAAGGTATGTAGTTCTGTAATCAAATATCCTATGATACTATTAATCTTTTTTTCTTCTCTAGCTCCAGAGGCACTCAGCGAAGGTACGAGTATTTAATACATAGTTTATTTATTAATTAATTATTTTTGCTTTTGTTTCAGCTGCTCTAGCTGCTCGTAAAGAAGTTATTAGAAATAAAGTGAGGGCAATTGGTAAAATGGTTCGCTATTTTGCTACTCTGAGGTAATTAATGGATTTATTAAACATTGATTGATCATTAACAACTGTTAATTTTATATTTCTTATAGAGAACAGAGTGAAGATATTCTTGCTTTGAAAGGACTTAATCCAGGTGGCGCATTGCCAATGGGAACATTGGAAGGTGGAAAATTAGCTATTGAACACGGTAAAGATGATAAAGAACTTTAATAAATAGTTTTTTATTCTCATAACGTTATTTGCTTTTTCAGCTAAACAATTGATTGCAAATAAAAAGCGTATCTCATTTGAAGAAGCAAAACGTTTAGATAAACTAAATGAAAGTATGCCACCATGGCAACTTTCATCTGCTTCGGGCCTTACAACAACATCTACATCGGGCATTGGAAGCTCAGCGAGCGGTTCATCATCGCCCCGTGTTGTTACATCCACACTGACATCATCAACAACGTCATCATCTCATCCGTCAACTGCTGGTGTAAGTTAATTTTCTTTTTAAAGGAAATGTTTATGTTAATTTTTGATCGATTTCTCTAGGATGATTTTAAAAGGATTTCAACTTCGCCAGTGAATGCACTCGCAACAGCAGTTGCTGCAGCTGCATCTGGTGCTACATCGGGATTATTAGATTCGACTAATGTGACAATATCTGAACGATGTAATGGTTCATCGGACGAAAAACAAAAATTATTACAAAAAAACATGAATACTACAGACAATTCGACGACAACGACTAATACAGCGGCTAAAAATGCTCATCATTCGTCACATCATCAACATAGAACGAAATGAAAAATTCAGTAAGATACAGTCAAATTTTATCTTTTTTTCTGTCTGAGTGAATTCTGATTATTTATATTATTACTGATACATACTCTGTTTCTTCTAAGTTCTTATGTCTCTCACACAGTGCTCTCTTTCTCTTTAATTTTGCTTGAATATAATAAGAAAACAGCATGTATTTTATGTTTCTCACCTTCTTCTCGTGATAAGTATTTTCCTCTCTTCTATGGATGGGGGCAAAGAGAAGATAGGGACGAAATCTGTTGTTGTGCCCGGGATTGCGCACTTATTAACATTTGTTTCTCTTTTTTAGTACTGTGTATTTATTTTTCATGTTTAATGTTGTCTCGTATTTTTGTTTTCTTTTTTCTTTTTTTTTCGATGTTGACGAAATATTTTGTCTTGTTTTCTTTGTTTCTCTCATTCTTTCCTTTTTATTTTTCCGTTCACATTCTACAAAATTCTTTTTGTTGCGCAGCGTCTTCTCTTTTTTTTTAAAAAATAATTTTGATTGAAAAAATAGGACAAAAAGAATAAGCAGGTGTTGTATTGACAACTAACCTTGTTCTTTCATTTTTGAAGAGATGAATAATAATTGCGAAAAACTCTACTCACACGTTTTCTTGTCAGATTGTTTATCGATGTAAATTTAATGTGATCTTCTGAAACTGATTGCGTAATGAGATTTTTGATGAACTCTCGATTGCAGTAACGTATTGTAACGTAAGGTTGAGAATCAAAGAAAAATAGAGATTAGTTTAAACTTTATTCATTTAAGAAAGAGAAATAAGAACCGTCCTTCTACATAGATGCATGGAGTCTAGGCCATTATATCAGAGGATAATGACATGGTAAATGATATAAGCGATTACGGATAAAAAGCACGTAAAATAGAGATTATCTAGTGCGGGTTTCACAATCATATGTATTTAACGAAAAAAGAATATTCTTCTCTAATAGCAACATGGGTGTCAGTTTAGTATACCCTATTTCTCCACTTGCAGTATCATTCGCAATGTACTATAACTTTAAGAATGAGAATGTTAACTTTTTATGACATCATAGATGATAGCTCCATCAAGCAATAGAAAATCGATTGTGATATCGACTCTTCTTTTTAATGATTTACTAAAAACTAACTGATTGGAAAATTTTGATGATGCGAATGTTAGATGATCACGGTGTAGGGACGGAATGTGATGTATTATTAAATTGATTCGAAAATTCAATCCGTAGAAAGCAACATATATGTCTACCACTTGAAGATAATCAAAAATATCCCAAAATAAGCTCATTACGCAATTGTTCAAGTAACGTTACTACCATTTCGTCCACTGAAAAGATAAAAAATGTCGAGAGAAGGACGTAAATAGTAATGGCACGATTGTTTTTAGCAGTGTTTTCACTTAAGGGCCCCCTTCAGAAATTATCTCCGACACCGTACATCCGATCTTGACGAAACTTTCAATAAATGTTCGACTTAATGAGTTACGCGAATAAAAAAATTGTTTTTGTCTCCAAGTCTTACTGTTCAGGAGTTTTCAGAGATCAAGGTCCAAAAAGGATCCTGAAGTACTTCCCAAGGTTCTTTAATATACTTCAAGCTGGAGAGTTCGAATTTGTTTTGTTTTAAACTAGACACCTAACTACATGGTCTGACCGGCGCCGAATTTTCAGTTACGGGTTTTCCAGCCAACCAACAACCTCCAAAACCCGAAAACTCCTTCCGAATTTTCTAAAACTCCTCAATTTGATAAAAAACTAAGACCTAATTCAAAAATCGGCGCCGGTCAGACCATGTAGTTTCTTTTCCTCTTTTAAACAAAAAAAGAATAAACTCTCTACGAAAAACCGCTATTAAAAATCTTGGGGGGAAATACTTCAGGTGTAACTCTTATGTAGTGAAAACGCTGTATTAAATGCTGTATAAAATGCTCAATTTTAGGACTTGTAGGAAAATACCTGTAGCTTTTTGATGCAAGGTCATACAAAGTTGTGCGAGGTCTTATTTTGATCAGAAACATTTGTTCTACAGATCTGTGTGTTCAGAAAAATTTTAATTTCGTAAGTATCTAGGAAAAGGCTATTATTTGAAGATCCGGTTTTCCGAGGCTCCTAGAAAACTTGCTCAAAATCTTCGAAAACTCAATTCTGTAACTAAAAGCGATACAGATTCTGAAAGTAGACACTTCAGGCTACCTTTCCATGTGTTTATCTTAAAACCAATTTTTTGATAGAAAATCACAATTTCTGTGGGGGGAGAGGGCCTTAAAGGACTGGAGAGAAAGTCTCACTAATTTAAAGAACTACTCACAATAGTTTTGTGATAATAATCTTTTAGTGTAAAAATAAAAAGCTCATGTTTTTCACTTTATTGAATCATTCTCCGTGCAAGAAAAATCTAGTATCACCTGATTCATCTAGATTACTAGATTTTGACTGGATTTTTTTTTTTTCAACTATTGGGTGACGACAGTAGAAATATAGTAATCGGGCGATTGCTAAATTAGATGCAACTATCGGTTTATTACTCGATAATCGATCGATTTAACTATTGCTAGTTACACATGCAGACACATTTAGCTAAAAGTCCCTCTTCCAACTAGTAATGTAGATGGCAACTAGTCGTTTATCGCCCGATTACAGACGAAATGTATCTAGGTTTTTCCCATAGGTGATGTTTGCTTGGGTTATTTCGAGCCGATATTATTGTTGGTGGGGCTTCACTTGAGTGCGTCTCACTTGAGCACATTCTCATTTTAGTGTACCTCACTTTAGTACGTGCATCTTATCTAGATACGTTTTCAGTTATACAACTCATTTCTCAAAATATTTTGAAACTTTTGAATTGCATGAGTTTAATTCTGAGTGGTTAGTAATCTTTTATTTTAATATCGAAAATCTTGACAATACAAGTTCTTTTTAAGAAATGCTGTTAAGCACGTCCAGCAGCAGCAAAACATCTTCCAATTGCTAAAATATAATCTAACGGTTGAGTTAGACCTAGATTAAAATGATCTGTTATACGTTGTACTGTTCTGTTGGGTTTTTGATATTTTAAATTTTTTCGATCTACATATATTCCGTCACGTAAACATTCAATCATGTTGAACTAAGACGTATTGTGCTTGAAGTATTCAATCAATCGACATACAGTCAGTTGTGTTTGTAGTAGATGTGACAACTTAGAATGCCATGATTCAACATCATTATTTGTTTGCCTATCTTGATCATAAACATTCCATACTTCAATAGCATACTGTCCATTTAACCAGGTGTTTGAAAAATAATGATAAACAGTTGTATTTTTTGTTGTATACGTAATAGTGTCGAATCAACTACTTCATTGCAGGTGGATTGTACTAAATATGTTACTAGAAATGGGATGCCTGATATCATACGAACTATTTCAAAAAACATACTGTTGAAGAGTAATCAAGCAAGAGAAAAAACAATGTAGCTTACAATATTTTCGAACAGCTTTATCATCCACATACTCTTGTTGCAAACCGAGATTTTGAAGATTAC